AAAGCGAGGGCGGAGGAGGAGGGGGGAGTCTGATGGGGAGGGAGGGGAGGGGGGGAAGAGGGAGGAAGGAGAGAGTAGAGGCGGGGGGGGGGGGGACGGGGAACTTGGCGTGGTTTTGGCCTACGTCTGGGGATGGTCGAGCGGACTCCACCGTGCGGGCCTAGCGGACGGCGTCGGCCGTTCCCCTGCTCGCCAGGGCTGGCCCGAACCCCACTGGCGGGTTCGAAAGACCACGCCCGCTGGGAAGTTGCCTAGCCCTACCACAGCCTCGGGAATAGTTCTCCGAACGCGACAACATTGCCCCGAGAACACTCAGAGCACAATGCATGCTGCTGCGCCCCAGCCACATACGTGCTGCTGCGCCCCAGCCGCATACGTCCTGTCGCGGCCTAGCCGCGTAAGCCGAGCACTTCTGGAGAAGTCGCGGACAAGCCGCAAGCTATGGAGCCGGGCACGAGACCGAAAACAACTGCAATCCGATAGCAATTACAATCAAATCCGTTCACGCTTGGAAAGCGCCCCCCCCCAACCCCCGCACCCGTAAAATCCCAATTGCAGGACCCCCTGCGGGGGGATCCCCTCAGGTCACCCAATCCTCTGATTAAACGTTGTTGTGGTCTATGGACCATGGATGGAGCCTGGCTTGGGGCGTTTCGCCTGAGAAGTCCTCAGAAGTGGCTTGGTTTGGCCCCTGGCTTGGCATGGTTTGGCCTGGTTTGGCCGGGCGCTCCGCCTGAGACATCCTCCGAATGTGCCTGCTTTGGCCACCAGATGTCCTCATACATTGCCTGGTTTGGCTTGGTTTCGACGCGGTTTCGCCTGCGGCGTCCTCACAATTTGCTCTGTTCAATTTGGTTCCGGTGCGGTTTCGCCTCAAACGTGCTCACGATTTCCCCGATTGCGGTGCAAACCCGCATTGTCGCAAGCTATGTGGTGCAAGGTATGTGGGGCAAAGTATGTGGTGGAAGCTGTTTTGGGCAAACTACGTGGTGCAAACCCACGTCGTCGCAAGCTGCGCGGTGTAAGCTGTGTGGTGCAATGTATGGCAGCTATGTGGTGCAAGTTATGTGGTGCGAGCGAACGCCGTCGCAAGCTACACGGTGCAATGTCGTGCAAAATATGTCGTGGAAGCTGCGTGGTGCAAGCTATGTGGTGCAAATCAGCATGTTCTCAAGGCGTTGGCACGGCGTCTGGCGTTAGTAGAAAGCCCTCCCGAGCAATGCCGCACCCCTGCCTGGCTGAACCTCTGCCCCGCTCCCCCCCTGAGTGCGGGGAGGCACGCTCGAGATGTTGGCCGCTCTCTGCGCCCTGCCATCCAGACCCGGATTGATCCGGGGCTCTTCGGCGGAGCGGCGCAAGGCGCAGGCCCAAGGGACACTCTTCACTGCCCGACGAGACCCGGGGTTCCCAGGTCTCGTCGGCCGTGTGACGGGGAGCAGGCACAAGAGGTCCAGCGCCGAGCTCAGAAACCAACGAGGACCTCGGCAATGTCATGTTATGCCGTCGCCTGGTCTTCGGCCTACAGGCCAGGGCTTCCCGTTGCACCTGGCGGCCAGGTCTCGAGCCGTGTGAAGGCGTGGCGATTGGTGGGCCAAGACAGCCCAGCTCCTGAACACACATCTAGAATACCCGATGTTGCCCAGTTCCCCGGAGAGTCCAAAGATCTGGAAAATAACAGCTTGCAATGGACAGCAACTGATGCCAAGCGGAGTATCGCACACCGGTCTACTAATGCCTCCTCGTCCTCCCTCACCACCTCCTCCATCGTCCGCATCCTCGGCCTCGTCCACCCTCCACACGCAGAAGGCACCTGCAGACCACCACCACACCTGCCGCACACTGGTCTACTAGTGCCTCCTCATCCTCCTTCACCACCTCCTCCCTCGTCCACATCCTCGGCCTCGCACACCTCCCACACGCAGAAGGCACCTACATTTACCACAACCATAATTACGCCTGGGCCAGGGACATCCTGGCCCCAGACGCGGCGCGTATACGCCCCCCTGGCCGAGGCCACCAAGGCCGATGCACCATCCGAGGGCCCAGAATGGTCTTGGCCAGCATTGCGGTGCACAGTCAATCCGTATCACAAGGACGCACGATAGGATGCAAGGGCCTTGGAAGCCCATGTCGACACTCTGCGAGTGGGGCGCAGCCAGCGAACATGGCCAGGGATGGGCCGAAGGGCAAGGATGCAAGGGTACTCCGAGTTTCCTTTCTAAGCGTCGGGGGTCGGGGGGGGCGTCACCACCGCCGACAGCCTCACATCGACCCCCGTCGCGGGCAGCCACCGCGCGCCAAAGGCGCTCCGACTTCCGTCGCGGCGCGACGACGAGGCGAGGTTGACCCCCGTCGGAGGGGTACCCCCGCACGCTTCTTAAGAAACTCGGAGTAACCTTGGGCAGGTTGCTCATCCTTACTGCGCGGGTTGACTGTACAGATGCCCTCTGCGGATCCCGAGGGCCCCGCTCCCCCATGCCCGCCCCTGCGCGGGCAGTGCCGTGCCGGCGCTCATGAAGATCTGGTGGGCCTGCTGGCACCCGTCGAGCAGCGCCTCTTCTTTCGCGGCACGCCGGGCGTGGCCGGCAGAGCGGCGCGCGCGCGCGCCAACGCTGCAGTCATCACTGCTGCCCGCCGCGGCCGAGCCACAGCCACTGTCGCCGTTCCCGCCGTCGCCTCCGCAGTCACGGCTGCCATTTCAGGACAGCACCTCCGCCGCGGCCACCCTGCAAACCGCGGCTGGGCATCGATTGACCGATCCCAATCCCCACTGGCGATGCCTGGGCACCACCGGCCGATTCACCCCCGTGGATGGGGGTATAGGCTGCTCCCTTCGGGTTTCGAGAGGCATATCCCCAAGTGAGGTCGTGAGACCGCGGGGCTCGAGATGTGGATGGGGATGGGGATAAGGATCGGTTAAACGATACTGAGCCCTCGCCACCGCCAGCACCCTCGTCAACACGAGTCGGAGCGGGGCGCAAGCCAAACGCCGCCCGTCTCCGCACTTCCTCGCTCGTCTGCGGACGCCGGCGCCCTCGTCTCCAGCCGAGTCTGGCCGCGCCGACGGCAGGGCGCGTTTCCCCCGCAAGGGAAGTGCGAGCCTCGCGCGTCACCCGGGCGAGAACGTCGCCGAGGGGGCAAGCCCCCCAGGGGGGTCTCTGGGCAGCCAGGCACGGCTCTTCGGCCCAGGCCGGTCTGAGCCAGGGGAATCTGGCGCGAAGAGAAGCTCCTGGACCCAGCACGGAAGCTCCAGGGAAACGAAGTTTCAGCCGATTTGTGACACAGGAAATGAGCATCATGTTCGGGCGGGTGGTAATGGGGGGTGACCTGAACAGGGGGTGAAGAAGGGCCCTAAAGGGGGCCGGCACTTTAGGGCCCCTTTTGGGCCCCTGCTGGCTCCAAAAGGGCCAATGAAATGGGCCCCATCATGATGATTTTCTTTGTCGCCATCACCATCATCATCATCATCATCATCATCATCATCATCATCATCATCATCATCATCACCACCACCACCATCATCATCATCATCATCATCATCATCATCGTCATCATCATAATCATCAGCAGCAGCAACAGCAGCAGCATCAGCATAATCGTCATCATCATCATCAGCAGCATCATCACCACCATCATCATCATCCACCATCCATCATCACCATCATCGTCCAATGATGATGATGATGATGATGATGATGATGATGATGATGACGATGATGATAAGGAGGAGAAGGAGGAGAAGGATGATGAGGAGGAGGGTGAGAATGGGGATGAAGGTGAAGATGAGGATGAGGATGAGGATGAGGATGCTGATGATGATGAGCATGAAGGCGAAGATGAAGCTAAAGATAAAGATTGAGATGAAGACGCAGATGAATACAAGATGAAGATAAGATGCGATGAATATGATGATGGTGATGACGATGGTGATGATGGTCATGGTGATGGTGATGGTGATGATGATGATGATGATGATGATGATGATGATGATGATGATGATGATGATGACGATGGTCCGGGTGATACTGGTAACGAAGTACCCGCGCGCAGAAATTCGACGCGTGCTACGACATCGATAATGATCACGATGACGGCGGCGATGATGATCCTGACGATGGTGATGATGATGATGTTGATGACGGTATCTATGAGGATGGCTACGATGATAACGACTGTGCTGATAAGGTGATGAAGAAGTGTAAGCCCGCAGAATAATCAAACATCCTGACATGCTGAATTGAAACCCATCTGGACTTCGCGCGCGTTTGAATACAGTCGGGGCGTTGGCCTAAGGAACCCTAAACAAGGAACGAGGCCCCTTTTTCCCATAAGTTCAAACTTCGACTTCCCATCAAAACCTGAGGAAAACCTAAGGCAAGCTGTGGAACAATGAGGGAATAACTGAGCCCCTCCCCAACGAGAAGGGTTCCTTCTTCAGCGCCCCAGCTGTGCATCAACACCGAGACTGCTGAAGAAACAGCAGTGCTGCCACGACTGCCGCGTGCGCGGGCGGCGGGACGCGCGCGTGTGGCCCGCCTGGCCGCACGGTATCACTTGACGAGGTTGGTGTGGCGCGCGATGGCAGGTGGAGCGTGCTCGACGTGCGCGCGCGGGTGGCCCGATTGGTCTCGCTTGACAGAAGTGGGACGCACAGAGACCTACTGATGCTGTATGTCCTCCTCGGAGGCCCGCGTGCGACCCGAACATTTTTTGATTCGCGGGTCGAGAGCGCACCTCTCACGCGTCCGACCCGAACATGTAATAGGCCCATCCTGTAGTATATCGTTTCCCGAGCGGTGTGGCCAGAAAGCGCCCGCCACGGCGCATATACTAGAAGATTTCTCGGTGCGCGCGCCGCCCCTGGGGTAGCGACGCACACATAGTGTTAGTATGCTGAGGTGGCGCCGAAGAAGGGCTAAATATGCATGGCTTGTCTTAAGAGTTCAGCGAACACGCACGTGTTTGCTAGCCATGTCTTGACACGGTTGAAACACACACCGTGGCTTGTCGGATTTCGACATGCGCGCGCGGCGATGCGCGCATGTGTCCCGTAGTAAGTTACTGCTTGCAAGGGAATCTTAGAAAAACAATCCTTAGATCAATACGTGTGCACCGCATACTGTTTTCTGCAAAGGACGGCGTGGGTGGTCGTCACCGGCCCGGCTGGCATGCCGTTATTTGGAACCTACGATGAGAAATCATACACGGAAGAGGCCGATTAACCCTGGCCTCGATGGTGGGGGGAGAGTCTCACCTCTTGTGGGAGACGGACTCTGCGAGATCCAAAATTTGAGATGTGCAGCCGACGGGGTCCAGTCCATGATGAGCAAATCGATGGGGCGAGCCATGCCATGCCAGCGTGAGGCGCCAACCACAGGTGACCAACCATAGGTGAGCAAGCATGGGGGCGGCTACGGGGCAGCAACGACGCGGCAACGGGGCACAAATCCTGAACTCACATCCAATTCCTCACGGGAGGTAGAAAAAAACTCTGTTTGGGCAAAACGGTCGACGGCGACCCCGCGCGCCAGCGATAGGACACTGAACCAGAGGGCACCAGACAAGGGGCACCGACCAGGAATGGCCGAACGGCCGAGGGCGACCCCGGACGCCAACCATAAAGCACTAACGCCAGATTGCACCAAAAATGTGGCACCGACCGGCGGATATGGCCGACTGCGACCGCGCGGGCCAACCATGGGGCGCTAATGCATAGCACACCAGCCTTACTGGGGACTGCTGACTGCGACCCTGTGGGCCAGCTCCTTGGAGCCCAAGTAAGAACCCCTACGTGCACGCACTGTCTGAGAAACAAAATGAGGTTGATCACTCCGCCATGCGCCGATCACTGTCGTGAGTTTTGTCGAACCAGCTGGGTAGCGTTGCCTGGCAGTGTCCGCGATTTCCCCGTCTCTCTACTGATCACGGTTAGGAGCAGACAGCACCCTGCATATTCCTCGAAGCTGCAGCGACGAGCTCTTGCTTCACGCTGCGGGCTTCGGGTTGGCCTCGACTGTGGCCGCTCCCTAAAACAGAAGAGCACACGTACGGAAACGAATGTCCGAGGTCTGGACACCAGGCTCGACCCTGGGCCAAGGAAGCCAGTTCTTCACCTACACCGACCGTGGCGAGGCCCATCCTGGGGCCAGGATCGGCCTGGTCGGGATCGGCGTAAGTGGATCATGGACGCCCTGCGACAACAGTACACATCGGCAGCTGGCAACCCTCAAAGACATGCAACCCCCTGGCCCAATATAAACTCAAACTGCACGTGCCAGACAAAAACCGTGATGCTCTTTTATCACGGCGCTCGCGGCGGCACTGGGCCTTCCTCCTCAACACGTCTCACGGCGCTTGAAGATAGTCGAGCCTTCACCAGTATCTTGGGCCCCGCGTCGTCCAGGTCTCCGATGCCCGCCTTGTCGAGAACGTCATGGGCCCGTGCCAATGCCTGCGGTGGTGGCCAGGGGGCCTGAGACGTGCAGGCGGGAAGGGAGTCGGCACTGAGAAAGAAATAACTAGGGGGCAACAGCGGGAAGGAAATGGTGAAGGAAAACACGGGTGACACACAAACACGCGAATGAAAAAACAGCAACAGGTTGCACCTTCCTCGAAATTCCGAGGCCACGAACCCCAGGCCACGGAACCACAGATCCCAGAATCATGGGCCACGGATCACTGGCCTCCGCGGGCCATGGACCACGGGTGGTGCCACGGGCCGCAGAATCACGGGCCATGGATGGATCACGGGCAATGGGTGAACTCACACGACACCGGCCCGCCAGGCCACCAGAGCGTGAGCCGCGGACCCACGGGAAACGGAGCAACGGACCACGGGCCCACAGGCCATCACGGAACCGACCGCGAACCGTAGGCACCACCGAGCCACGGACCACCGAAGCTCGGGCCACAGCATCACGGGCCGCAGACTCACGGGACTCGGAGCCGGGGGCCACGGGGCACCGAACCAGGGGTCGACGGGCCACGAGGCGAGGGCCGCCGAAGCACGGGCCACCAAAGCGCCACAACACGGCCCACCGAACCACGGGACGCGGAACCCCAGACCGCCGCACCCTGGGCCGCCAGGCCACGGGCCACCGAGCCACGAGGCACAGAGCCTCAGTCCACAAAGGAACCACGGGCACGGAGCTGGGCCACGGAGCCAAGGGCCACAGACCAACGGGAAGCCGAACCATCGGCCACCGAACCACGGATCAAGGAAGCGCGGGTCATGGAACCACGGACGACCCATGAAGCCACAAGACATGGACGACCGAACAACGGGCCACAGAATAGCAAGCCATCAAACCACAAGCCACGGATCACAGGCCACCACACCAAACCACGGGCTGCGGACCACGAAACCGCGGACCCCGAAACCGAAGGCCAACGACTCAACGGGCGCTGGAACCTCGGGCAACGGACCTCGGGCCAATCATCGGCCTCGTGGTCAGAGCGAATGTTAGAAGAACTCTGTTTAAAAAAACAAGAACGGCATGCCCTCCTAAATTCACTGTTTCCCACATCCTGGGTGGGGCTGCTGAGCTGCGTTCTCACAAAATGATCCTTCTTATCCTCATCATCCTCATCATCCTCTTCTCACGTTAACTTAGCTCCCCCCTTCCTCCCTCGACAATTCCCAACCGCACCACGTCTCACCACTGACCACGACGCGTCCGCTCGGCCTTCCCTACCCCCCACTCACATGAATTCCAATCCCCGTCTTTCTCTCTCGACGACTCTCAGCAATACCACGCCCCACCAGTACCACGTTTCGCTTTCAACGGAGACAGCGCGGGAGCGCGACCCGCATCAAAATACCATGAGAGTTCGCAAATGATACGTACGACCCCAGCGTGCTCTTTATTAGCACTGGTGCAATTCGGGAGCGTCCACGAGCGGGGGCGTCCAAAGAGGGGGGTTCAACACAGCAGATCACGGCCCGAGGAACTTGCGCGGACGAGCGGAGCAGCGTGGGGGGCCGTGAAATCCGTGGACCAGAAAACAAACGACACCGCCCCACCTACGGCCCCAGGGGGCTTAGCGTATACCAGGAAATCTGGCGTGGATTTTTGCGTGGTATGCGCTACGGAACCCGATGGGCGTAGGGCAACATGGAGGGCCGTAGGTGAGGTGGTGTCGTTTACCTTTTGGTCGAACCTGGGGAGAGGGGAGACACCATGGCCCTGGTCATGGTGCCCGTATCACGAGCAGCGATCGTATCCACATCCACGCCGTCGCGGGCTGGACTCCGAGGCGCGGTCCCGCGGATGCGCGGTGGCACGGACACGTTCCACGCGGGGCAGCCACGCAAAAAAAAACGCCCCGTATCCGCGGGGTCGCGGCCCAGGGGCCTGGCCCGCGAGGCCGCGGATACGGGGCGTTTTTGTTTTTCGCCCAAGCCAGTCGTGCAATTCGCACCTCACCACCTCAGGCAACACTCCATCACTCCTCCATCAGGGGGAGGGCGCGCGGGAGCGAGCGCCCACGCTGGGGCACCCCGTTCTTCATCGCGCCTGGTACCATTCCCACTCCACCACCCCCGCCGCCGGCACCGCCTTTGGGCAACCACGTGCGGACCCTGTCCCTGCAAGTCAGGCTTCTGAAACCTTGGCTGGGGCTCAGAAGTCGAAGGGTGTCTGCAGCCAAATGAACCCCAACGGGGGTGCCCGATAACCCAGCATCGATTGGACCCGCAGGGGGGGGTGGGATCGCATTTGGTCGCAGAACCTGTCCCTCTCCAGGGGGACCGCGTGGAAGCGCGCGCCCACATCCGAATAGCATGAAATGTATCGCGTCTGGCGCCCTTCCCACTCCACCACCACGACCACCAATACCACGATCCTCCATCCAGTAGCCGCGTTGGATCGCGACCTCCATAGGAGCACAATGTGGTTTATCGTGTTTGGTACTCTTCAGACTCCACAGCCATCAATACCGCATCTCCCCTCCATGGAGGCCCTGTGGGAACGCAACCAGGATACCCCGCCTTTTATCGCGTCCCGTGTCCCTCTCATACCACCAGTGATGTAGTGGAAGCGATAACATGGTACCATGCAGTCCTTTCCAGGGAGACTGCGCGGGAGAGTGACACCGATTCGGACATCACGTTGCCCCATCAACCCCACCACCACTGGGAGGATGAGAAGGAACAAGGCCCCGGAGGACAGGATAGGACAGGAGGATAGGACCAATGACGACGCCGTATCTGAATTAAGCCCCGCGAGCTTGCGAGCGAATGCCCCCGACCCAAGCCGCGGGAGAAAGGGAGCGCCTCCAGCGCCCAGAAGCAAGACCCTGACAACAGGGGGAAATCGCATGTCGAGAACGGCCGCCTCAAGAGAACTAGTATTCAGCCACGCACGCAACTCGCTGCACACACACACACACACACACACACACACACACACACGCTTATACACACACACACACACACACACACACACACACTTATACACACACGCTTACACAGAAAAGGGCTCCGCAATGTGCCCAGCAGCCATCTGGAAGGCCAACGCAGCGATAGTGCAGAGGAGGATCTCGGTCGCTAAGGGTGACCATCAAGCATTAAATGTTGCAGCCGCAATGGCGCGAGGCCCGCGGCAAAGCGAGCCAGAAACTCGGGCGCGGGAACCGAGGACCCCGAATACGACTGAAGTTTCCAGGACTGCGGCTGCATGGGGAAAGCCTCTGGGTACCAAGCGGCTCGAGCTGCAAACCAACGCATTCACTTGGGTTGCGCCGTCGATGCCGAGCCTTTCACCCAACACTCTCGGCACCCAAAGTCGCTTGCCATTGTGGACCATGTTCTTACCGTGCCACTGTCCCTCCCGCGTGTGCTTGTCACACATGTAGCACGTGGGCATCCAGTCGCTGGGCAGGGCACTACGACAGTCTGCCCGTGCATAGTGCCACTTGCCGCAACTGCTATACAGAACGGGCGCATTGCGAACTTGACATGTTGCGCATTGGGGACGGGGTGAATGTCCGCAAATTCAAAGTCCTGAAGGTCGGCAGCACCACCCTGCCTGGGGACGAAAGGGCGGATCGGCGGCGGGTCCACTGGGCGAGGCGGAGACCCTGACGACTCCCTGGGGAAGGGCGTCCTACGGACTGGCACAAACACAGCCCGCCGCCGCCCACGCGCGATTCACAACGCCCCACGGACGACCTGAAACGCGAACGCCCCTGCCGACGATGCCTGCCTAAGTCGGTCAGCTTGCTGGGTGCCGCACGCGTAAGAGAAGGCCCCCTGCGACTACGTACAGGCACCACCTCTGATTCTAAAGACCCCTGGGCTTCGAGACGTGGGGATCAGGTGCGAGGTGGCACAGGAGCATACACGGGTATGGCATCCGACAAATTGGCCTGAGGCGAACTAGTGGCGCCCGACGCTGAAAAGTCAGAAGAGGGGCTGCGACCACTATCAGCCTGCTGAGCCTCTTCCACCCAAGGCTCGCTGTCAAAACAGAACCCGAGATGACAGCTGGCTGCAGCAGAGAATGGGGAGGTCGCCCGAAGGCTTTGGGCACCGCTCCTGGCACTGACTGGGCGGAACTCGCAGGTCTGCAGCCCCAAGACAGTGAGGTCGGAAGACGGGGAAGATCGGCCAGCGCCGTGCGATACAAAAACTTCTGCATGCCCGCCCTCGTGACGCCTGGCTCTGGAAACCCGATCCACGGCATCACTCTGCGACCTGGCTGCACAAAGGAACCGGGAGGCAACACGAGCTGCGCAGGCGGACCTGCTCCGTCACCGAAAGTTCCCCTGGCAGGGAAGGAACGGGAACAAGCTTGAGAATCCCGAGGCGTTTGCGAAAGAGATCGCCGTAGCGGTTCCTGGCAATGTCCCGGAGCACGTGGCGAGTCCTCAAACCGCTACGAGTCGTAATCACATGACACCCTTCGAAATCCCTTTGCGGAAGAACTTCTCCCATGTATCTGCGGAACAGCTACTCACATGTCTGGAGCACGAGTAAGAATGTCGGCAGGGTCAGATCACATCGGCCCCTGCTCAGACCGGAAATCCCCGCCTTGTGGCGATTCGGGAGATTAGGGAAAATTGCTGCTGTCAGCGCAATGCGCACGCCTGCGGTGTCCCTCGCGGTGACTTGATGTCTGCGCTGCCATACGTCCATGTCCCTTTGATGCCCAGTACCAGCGAGAACCAACAAAAAAAACCTAACCAAAGCAAAATGTGCACGTGTCGCTTCTGCCGATGACACGGGTACAGGGCGCAGCAAACTAGGCCGCTGCCTACGAGAGATGACCATCACCACCGCGCCGATGCAGAGGGAGAGCGGAAAGCGTTCTTGCGAAGTCTCCATGATAGCTGTCGGGGTAGACTGCCTCACGCATGAATTCCTGCGCGTGAGTCGCTTCACTGTTGCTTCCCGCGCTCTCGTCTGTACGGCTGAATCAAGGCTCGGCATTGTTCCCGAGGGCGCCTCGTAGCCGTGCCAACTGGCTGTCCAGCTCCTGAACGAGGTCCTGACCAGCTGGGTCGCCACGATGACTGGCTGGAAACCTGTCCACGGCGTGAGTCGCCCTCTGGAGATGGCAACTGGCTCAGGCGGTGATGCCGGCCCATGCGACGACCTGCTCCGCGAAAGCCTGGCTGATGTGCTCGCTGTGGTAAAGGAACCGCTCCAGATGATCAGCTCACCCACCTCGGGTCAACAACGCGGCCTGCGGATCGCACGGGTTGTTATAAGTTTCTTCGCGATTGCGCCTGGCGCGGCCAAGGAGAACTTGGAGGGATGACCCCGCCTCCAAGCACTCATGCGCCTGAGAGACGAGGCGCTGCCACATGTTTCCTTCTCCCCGCCCGATGTGCTTGGCCCAGAGCAGGCGCTGCTGGAGCTCGTAATCTCCGGCCCCCGACCCCCGACTTGGCGCCGCTGCCGAGGAGAACGAGGCCGCACACGACGAGGTGGCCGAAGAAGCAGTACTGGCTGCACCGAGGGCTCGCCCCCGGAGCCCACGAGGTGGCCGCCATCCATGAAGAGATCGCCCACTCGAGCCACCGCGAACTGGCAGCGGTCAACAGATTGACTTCCGGAGCTCACCGGAGATTTCTTGGATTGGCGCTGGACCCCCTTCCCTGGCGTGTGAAGTCGGGCCAGTCCCCCTACAGGGGGATTTTGGACAGAAAACTCAAAAATACCTCAAAAACACTCGAAAAATCCTCAAAAAACATCGTCCCGTCCCTATTTTGAACACTCCGGCCCTCGGGCCAGGCCAGGGCCAGCGAGCACCGCAGGAGGAGGAGGAGGAGGAGGAGGAGGAGGAGGAGGAGGAGGAGGAGGAGGAGGAGGAGGAGGAGAGGAGGAGAGGAGGAGGAGGAGGAGAGGAGGAGGAGGAGGAGGAGGAGGAAGGGGAAGGAGGCAGCGAAGAACAAAGTGGAAGGAAATATGAACCTCTCATTCCCCCTGTCCCTGGCGATTTGTCCTCCTCACGCACGCGTGACCAACGAGAACACTTAGGCTGGCAAGTCCGATCGCAGATCTGTCGGCAGCTCACCTACGCAGTCATTGGAGAAGGAATCTGGGTTCCTACGCCAGTACGCCAAGCACTGGCGAGGTTGTGTTTCGAGACGAATGCTTACGTACGCGCAGGAGCTCATGTTTCCCATACCCTCCTATGCCACACGGCGCTTGCACTCTGCACATAACACCTCCTGTCCCCACGCTACATACGTTCATGACATCCTACATCCTGCGCATATGTGACCACAAAGGCCCGCCTCCAAAGCTGCGCCAACTTCGCACATATACCTGCACCAGCCAGGAACCCATCTAGAGCAACAGCAACCAAAACTTAGGACGTGCGAGAGGATGATGCTCAAAATGACTGCTCGGCAATGCGTCCATGCGGGAGATGTGATCACAACGATGCTTCGCCCATGCATGAGACGTGTGTTCGCTGAGCGATGCGACAATACCTACAGTCAACCAGGATAATAAGGATGCGCGGTAAGGATGCAAGGGCCTTGGAACGCCATGTTGAGGCTTTCCGCGCGGAGCGCGGCCGAATTCCGAAGGATACAAGGGTACCCTGAAGGGCTGGCCAGCGAAAGTTGGCAAGGATGCGCCGAAGGGGCAAGGATGCAAGGGTACCCTGGCCAAGTTGCCCCATCCTTATTATCATGGTTGACTGTATCCCACACCGGTACCAAAATTGCATCAGTACAGCATGGCAGTTAAGTGTCACAGCTCAAAGCCTTGCAACTGAATACTCGCTTACCATCTCCTTTAGGATATTTGCTTCGCGTCTTGCTACATATCGACCGTACCCGTTCCCCATACCGAGTCACATCCCGCCCCCAGACACGACAGAATCATCTCACCAGCCCTCGGGGCGTGAACGTAGCTTTCTGGATCAGCTCTGGGGATTGGGACCAGGTCGTGAGGGTTAGTAGCGTCCAGGATGACCCAAGATGGGCTCACGATGGCTCTAAATGGCCGGAGCGGCCTCCAAGATGCCACGAGATGGTCCAGGTTCATTCAGGATGGCCTCCAGCATGCCTCCGAGGGGCCTCAGGCATGCCTCGAGGCGCCTCGAGACGGCCACGGGGCCTTCCCAGGAGACCCCGAGATGATGCTGAGGTCACCGATGCGCAGCTGCGATGACACGCACTGCATTGGAGGACGCCAGCTGTGCACAGGCACCGATCCTGGCACGGCCCGTCCTGGGCCCAAGGTCAGATCACACGCCCTCGTGGCCTGGCTGGGGAGGCAGGCGCATCCTGGGCACAGGATGGGCCTGGTCAGGGTCGGTGCGCATGTGTCACTGCACCGACCTTGCAGACGTGCTGCAGCGGATTTTGCGCATGGATTTCTGTCAATGCAAAACCCCGAAACGGCGAGCGAACAACTAGGCGAATTTCCTGCGGATTTGTCGTAGTCTTCATTCCTGGCCGGACAAAATCCGCGCGAAATTCACTTCGAAATCCAGAACGAAGTCTCCAGGACAATCTGGGCCCATCCCACTGTTTTCCGCACGAAATCCGCTCCGCGATGTTGGCGCCATGACATGTGCAGCTCCCCCGAAAGGAGGCCCCCGAGTGGCGTTCACACGAGAGATGTGAAGCTGCGATGTCACGCACGGCAGGCGTGCGATGCAGCGCTGCGCTGAGCGCTCCCGCGAAACCGCGGCGAGGGCTTTGGCGGCGCTGCGCTCCGCAGGGCGCGCCTGGGGATGGCGTCACAGAGCTGGACCTGCTTGATCAGGTCGTCCCGGAGCTCCTGACCCGAAGAGGAGAAGGTTGGCGGCGCGCGCCAGGGGGGCGGCGGAGGGACTCCAAGAAGGGCCCTCCCAGCTTCCAAGGGGGCTGCCCAGGAGGCTCCTCGGAAGCCCTCCCAGCTTCCAAGGGGGCTTCTCGGAAGCCCTCCCAGCTTCCAGGAGGGCGTCCCAGAAGGCTTCTCAGAAGCCCCTCCCAGGAGCCGGGGGTGCTACTCAGCAGCCCTGCCAGCTTCCAAGAGGGCTTCCCCGGAGGCTCCTCGGAAGCCCCCTTGGGCTTTTCCCCGAAGCCTCACGGCTTCTAAGGAGCCCCCCGCCTCCTATTCTTCGAAGGCCGGCCCCCTCGCGCCACCCCCACTGCGCGCGCCGCCAGACAGGAGGCGGAGGACGAAGGAGCACGGGAGTCTGGAAAGTACGTCATGATGAGAACCGCCCTGTCTCAGATGTACCCGCACTGCCACTCAGGATTACAGAGGCCAATGGTCACGCTGAGCGCGCAGCGCGCGACTCCTAGGGGAAGTATATGAGTACCCCCCCGTCAGACGCTGGCGAATGCTAGGTCGGAGTGTGCGGAGGCCTACGTCAAGGAGCCGACAGCAAGCCCGTTCATCCTCCACCGACTCTGGGATACAATACTGCTGCCTTTGTTGCAGAATATGCGACCCTTCCTCCACTGACTTTGGTATGCAGTGTAACTATTTTCTGACAACGCGCCCAAATCTCCGCTGACTCTGGGATGCGATGCTGCTTCTGCCCCTACAGGGACTGACCGTGTTGCTGCGACAGGAAAGTAGCAAATATACTTAGGAACAGTACGTGGACGCTCACACACGAAACCACCTCCTCGTCCTCCGTCGTTGCCGCTTCCTCATCTTCGTCCCCCTCTTCCTCGGAACACAAGAAAGCGATCAACTAAATGCTATGGCAAGCGGTCAATGCGTACAACACCCGATAAATCCATATCACTCCGGCGGGAATGGTCCTCAACTTTGCGATTACAGTTCTTACGTCACCGTAAGCTCAAGGCTGAACAGATGGCGAGGTACAAAGGCAAAGCATAGTTAGCGTGTAAAGTCGACTGCTGTGCTAAGACCAGCTGCAATACGTTGGACAGGCATACGCTCCAACAGCAAAACTACCCTACCAAAAACGAAGATAAGTTCAGCGAGGTAAGCAAAACTAATCGCAAGCTGAGCTACGCGCACACCAACTACGGTACGCTTCGTCAAGTTGCTCTACACAGCACGACGCAGCGCTGTTTTGTCCATGCTATGTCAATATGCTGAACCTTATCTCTAAAATCACGTAATCCCACCACCATGCGCGGGGGGGTGAGACATGCGCTCTCAATTGGGCATCATCACCGAACACTATTTCTGGGCAACCGGTGAACTCAACGCCGAATCCCAAATCGCTGTTTCTAGATGGGATGTCTTATCAAAACTGGCTCCGAAATGGATATAAGGAGAATCGGGGGACCCGGTGCCGAATCGCAAACCATTGTTTTCGCATGACATGTCCTGGCAAAATCGGCTCCGACCCCCAGTCGGCCCTACTGACGCAGTTTCTGGGATACCTGGGGACCCTGCCGACGACTCCCAGACGGCTGTTTTTGCTTGGCAGGTTCTCGCAACGTCGGCTCCGAGACTTCCAAGCCTGCCAAGAATTGGTCAGACCTGGCGCCGAACCTGGAACCATTTTTGCGCGCACTGGAAGTCCCAGCAGAAGCGCTCCGAGACTCCCCCCGGCGGCCACTTGTAAGGAAACGAAAAATGGCATAAACATAAAAACCCGGAGGTCCGCGCGGATTTCCCGGATCGGCGCTGGACACCCTTCCCTGGCGCGCGGAGCGCGCCGGGAGCGGCGCCGGAGGCGCCGCCAGGGGGCTCCAGCGCGGATCCGACAAGTCCGCGCGGACCTCCGAGGTTTCATGTTTATGCCATTGCCTGTTTCCCTATCCCGTGAAGCCCCCCATCGCGCCTCCTGGGATCGGGCCTCCCGGCCCTGCCCACGGGGAACCGCAGGAGCTCTTGCTCTTGATCAGCGCGCCGCGGCGGCGCCCCTGCGGCCACACGCTGTGACCTGCAGACGGATAGCGTGTCGCTCTGCTCCGCAGGGCGGGAGGTTGGGCAAGGCTTGGGGCGCTGACGCCTGGGGACCAGGACGTGATTATTGTCGGCGGTGGACAAACCTCCCCTTAGCAAACCTCCCCTTAGTGAAAACGGCCTGGGACCGAAACCGACGGACATGGACCCGCAAAAATAACGGCCGCGACGCCCTCTCGCGAACCGAAAACGGCCAATTCCTTAATCGACGTGTCAGGGTAGGAGGTCTGTCCACCCCCGATATTGGTTCACGTCGGACTTACGTCGGAATTACGTCGGATTTACGTCGGACTGACTCCGGAGCACCGCCGAGCGAGCGTCGACCCATAGCTCACGGAGCTGACGTGTGGACCAGATAATACTACTCCTTCGAGCCGCGCGAGGCCTGCACGATTTTCCTCATAAGCTATCCAGCGCCGAACCATACATGGGAGTTCCTCGCAAGCCGGCTCCGAGACTCTCGAATCTCCCACGATGCTCCCCGCAGCGCTGCCTGGAGCCTCGAAGCGGGCCGCCGGACACTCTCCTGGGAGTCGGCGGAGCCCGGCACCGAATTCCAAACCGTGGTTCTCCATATTCTTGTAAAGCAAAATGAGGAGGATGAGATCGGTGTCCAGGCCTCTGCCAGCCCAGCGCAGCACGAGTCAACCAAATTCCCTCGGCGTCCAGGCCTCTGCTGGCATGGCGCGAGCGCTCGGGCACCAGCCTCAGGTCGGGCATGTCCCCCCACAGACGGATTTTGGAAGAAGAACTAAAAATGTAGTCAAAATTACTCGCACATGGTCAAAAAGTAATCGGAAAATCATCCCCAGACTATTTTTCCCCAAACAGCTTGCTGAACCGGGTGCTGTTGTGATAGAAGCTAACTCCGGCCGAAGGAAAGGGGAGCAGAGACATCCTCACAAAAATCTGATGGTCCCGGCCGTTTCGCTTAAGTGAAACATCCTCACAACTCTCGTTTCTGAGTTGGCCACGATTGGCCGTTTCGCCTGAGACATCCTCAAAAAAATGCGCTCCGGGATGCCGCGCGAGAGGTTGTCCGGGCCGTTTCGCTCGAGATATCCTCGAAACTCTGAGCCCCGAAGTGCCGCGCGAGAGGTGGTCTAGCCCGTTTCGCCTGAGACATCCTCGCAACTCCGGGCTCCGAGATGACGCTTGCGAGGTGGTCCGGCCCGTTTCGCCTGAGACATCCTCGCAACTCTGGGCCCCGAGGTGCAGCGCAAGAGGTGGTCCGGCCCGTTTCGCCTGAGACATCCTCGCAACTCTGGGCTCCGAGATGCAATGCAGCTTGCGAGGTGGTACCGCCCGTTTCGCCTGAGACATCCTCGCAACTCTGGGCCCCGAGGTGCAGCGCAAGAGGTGGTCCGGCCTGTTTCGCCTGAGGCATCCTCGCAACTCTGGGCTCCGAGATGCCGCTTGCGAGGTAGTCCTGCCCGTGTCGCCTGAGACATCCTCGCAACTCCGGGCTCCGAGATGACGCTTGCGAGGTGGTGCGGCCCGTTTCGCCTGAGACATCCTCGAAACTCTGAGCCCCGAGATGCCGTGCGAGAGGTGGTCCGGCCCGTTGCGCCTAAGACATCCTCGCAACTCTGGGCTCCGAGATGCCGCTTGCGAGGTGGTCTGGCCCGTTTCGCCTGAGACATCCTCGCAACTCTGGGCCCCGAGGTGCAGCGCAAGAGGTGGTCCGGCCCGTTTCGCCTGAGACATCCTCGCAACTCTGGGCTCCGAGATGCAGCTTGCGAGGTGGTCCGGCCCGTGTCGCCTGAGACATCCTCGCAAGTCTGAGCTCTGAGATGCCGTGCGCAAGGTGGTCCGGCCCGTTTCGCACAGGACATTCTCGCAACTCTGAGCCCCGAGATGCCGCGCAAGAGGTGGTCCAGCCTGGGGGCCCAGAAGACCACATGTTAGCCACGAAGGGCAGCGAGGAGGCCATGAAGGGCTGCAACGGGGCCACGAAACAAAGCGAGGGGGCCACGAAGGGCTGCAACGGGGCCACGAAAGGCAGCGAGATCCCGATTCCTAGGTAATCTGCGAGGGAGTCCTAAGCGTGAGCGCGACTCCTGGTGCCTGGGTGTCGGGAGCGCGGCTTTGAGTAAATTGCAAGAAATTCCAACGCAAGGGCGCTGTTCGTCAGTAAATTGCAAGCAAGTCTCCAGCGAGAGCGCGACTCCAGAGCGCCGGGAGAGCGATTCCTGAATACATTGTACGGAAGTCCCCAGGGAGAGCGCGATTCCTGAATAAAATGCGAGGAAGTCTCGGGCGGGAGCGGGGGTCCTGGCTAAATTGTGAGAACGTCTCAGGCGGGAGCCGTTGTTGTTGTAACCCGGGGGCCAGGGGCACAGTTTGAGCATCAAGACCCTCCCTGTCAAAAAAAACAGGGTGCGAGCGTCGAGGGGCACACTTTGATTTGGAAAAATCAGCATGCACCAGTGAGGGGGATCAACAACAATTATTCTTCAAAAATGAGAATTCAACAACAGCAACAACAACAACAACAACAACAACAACAACAGATCTTAGAAAATCGTCCACTGACGGTTGTTTTGACTATCCTTGACCATTCCTCTTGTAGAGGGACACGCCCGACTTTACCGTAGGGGCGACGCCGGAGGCGCCGACGGGGGAGCCCAGCGCCGATCCAAGAAGTCCGCACGGACCTCCGAAGGTGTTCACGCAGTTGCTTCCTCGTCGATGCTCGGCCTCCTCCTGCCGACGCACCACTGGCAGGTGGACCCGCACACTTACCTGCTCTGGGTTTCTTCGTGAGCGTTGGGGGGTACCCCTCCGACGGGGGTCAACCTCATCTCCTCGTCGCGCCGCGACGGGGGTCGGAGCGCCTTCGGCGCGCGGTGACTGCCCGCGACGGGGGTCGATGTGGGGCTATCGGCGGGGGTGACGCCCCCCCGACGCTTGTTAAGAAACTCGGAGTACCTGTGCCACTACAGCCAACAATATGTTCAACAAAACATCACTTAAGAAACCTGGGCCAGCTTTCCGGACGTGTCTGAAGACAAACCTGGCAGAGTTATTGTGTCAACGCTGGAGGGGTAAACGCGCTCAAGAAACTGAGCCAGCTTTCTTGCAAGTTGGTCAAGAAACGCTGGCCCAGCTTTTCGAGAGGAGGTTTCTTAATCAGATGCACGACTGTAGAGTATGGCCATCACGCAACCGCACGGTCGGGGCTGATTGGAGAGGACACGCGAGAGGACACAGGACCCCATCCGAGAGCCACGCCGCAGCGGGAACCAGGCCGCGAAGTAGAGGACACGAGGGCAACTACCCTTGATGTTGAGCATCGTTTATCCGATCCCTATCCACAGCGGCGTGGCCTGGGCCCCACTGGCCGATTTAACTCTCCTATATGGGGATATAGGCCGTTCCCTTCGGGTTCCGAAGGGTGCATCCCCAACTGGCGGGGTAATTTGGTGGGGGGCTCAAAGGGGATGGGGATGGGGGTGGGGGTCGGTTAAGCGATACTGGGATTTGTGAAGGGGCCCTGGGACACACAAATAAACTCACAAATAAAAAGATCTCCCATATTTCCCCATATTTTCTGGGTTCTCGTCTTCCCCCCACTGCCCATATTTTCCAATATTTTCCTGGGAATCGACGATTAATTCTGTCTGTGTGTTTTTTCCCCTCCTGAATTTGGCAGGGTCGACCTACCCATCGGCCTCGACCGTGCGCCACCCCGGCCCTGCTCCTGCCCGTGCTGCTGCAGCTGCTGCTGGTGGCGACCTCCCTCCTCCACACGAGGCGGGGCGCGCTCCGGCTCGATGCCCTGCGCCTTGACGACGCTGGCGGCGAAGAGCCGCCGGGTGCAGCTGTGCTTCCGGAGCAGGCTCCCTCCCCCTATCTCGAGGAGCAGCAAGAACGAACAGCGAAATCCTGTGCTCTCAGTCTCTCTGCCTCCTCCCCCCGGCCCCACCGAGCCCAGGCCTCCCAGCGAGGGGAAGCCCCCGAGCTGCTCGGACCGTGAGGTCTGGGCGTCGCAATTTTGTTCACGCCCAGCGCTCTCGCCCTGTCTCGGGCCCCGGGGCCATCACAGCTCGACCGGGCTCGAGAAGTGCTGCAGAAAGACAGGGCCTGAGATCCAGGCGTCGTAGTTCTTTCACACCCAGCAGCATTTTCGCCCGGCCTCGGGCCCGGGGCCATCGCAGCTCGATCTGGCTCTGAAAATGCCGCAGAAAGATTGGCTCGAGGGCTCTGGTCGTGATTTGTCGCGAGAGTGGATCTAGGTGGCGGAGGCTGCCACGGCGCGATCCTGAGCCAAGAGGTGCCGTTCTGACACCTTCCTCGGGCTGGCCGGACCTCGCGAGGGGTCTTCTCGAGGCCATCTGGACCTCCACTCGACGGCCACATTTGACCTACCCCCTGCAGGGCAGACTTCTCAAAAACCCGCGGGAATTCAGAGGGTGTCCAACAGCGTCGACTGGACCGAGTTCGCAACTGCTCGCAGATCCCCGGAGAAGCTGGGGCCACACTGAATCAGAGTTAGGTCGGGCAAGTCCCCCTACAGGCGGGTTGTGGACGAAAAATAAACAAGAGTCAAAGGTGCTCCAAAAGGCTCAAAAAAGTACTCCAAAAATGTTCCCCAAACTATTTTTTGAACTGTTTTGAAGAGTCCTCCTGCAGAGGGAGAGGGACAGGCCCCACTTAAAACCAGAGCCACCTGTGTCAGGCTAGTGACTACTCGCCAAGCGACTACTCGCAGATGGCCAGGATCCGCCGCGGGGGATCTGCGAGAAACTCCACCGAGGCAAGCATACGTGTTCGGACATTTGCGAGGAGGCGGTAATGTGCGGCAGCTCGGGGGCCACATGCAAACCCTACCCCTACCCCCCACGATTTCTGGGGGGGAGGGTGGGGTTCACTTCGTTCGGGAGCTCCCGAGCGAAGTGAACCCGAGCGAAGTGAACCCCACCCTCCCCCTCAGAAATCGTGGGGGGGGAGGGGCAGGATTCGCATGTGGCCCCCTAGCAGCGCCCAGGCCTTCGACGGACCCTGGCCACGGGCAGCTGGGCAAGCGCACGCCGGGGAGCCCCCCAAAGACCGCGTGGCGACGGACCGCGCGGCGGCCTCGGTGGCCCAGGAGACCTCGCCGCGCGGTCCATCACAGCAACGTCCTGGGGCCTCGGAGGCCCTGGTCTGAGGTCGGGCATGTCCCCCCACAGGCAGCTTTGGGGAGGAAAATTATATATATATATATATATATATATATATATGTAGTACATATATATATATATATATATATCTGTATATATATGTATGTATGTGTATATATCTGTATATAAACAGTATATATTTGTATGTGTGTATGTATATACATTAACCTATACCTATACACATACATCTATATAGATATGTACGTATACATATACGTATACATATACATACACATATACATAAACATATACATATGCATATACATATTCATATACATATATATATACACATACATATACAAATACATATACATATACTTATGCATATACATGTACATATACATATACATAAACATAAACGTTTACATTGACCTATACCTATACAAATACATATACATTTACATATACATCAACATATACAAATCCATATACATATACATATATATATATACATATGCATAAACATAAACATATACATACACATATACATGTACATACACATATACATATACATATACATATACGTATACATATACAGATACATATACATATACATATACATATACATATACATATACATATACGTATACGTATACATACAGAAATACATATACATATACATATATATATATATACATATACATGTATGCATGTACATATACATATCCATATACATGTAGATGGGCATGCACATGTACATGCACATGTACATATACATATACATATACCTACACATGCACATATACCTGTCCACATACAAATACATGTACCTACACATATACATATACATATACATATACAGGTGCATATACATAAACATATACATATACATAAACATAGACAGATAAATACATATAGATTACATATACACATACACATACATATACATATACATACACATATACATATACATATACATATACGTATACATGCACGTGTACCTATACGTGTACATATGCATACACATACAAATATACATATACATATGCACATATATATACGAATACAGATACAAACACATTTACAAATACAGTTACATGTACATATACGTATACATATAAACATACAAATTCGTATGCACATACACATACATATACATATACATGCATATATATGCATATACTTATACATATGCATGTACATATACATATACATATACATATATATATATCTGCCCATATACATATACATGTACATCTATACTTATATACATGTATGCTCCAAAAAAAGGTCCCTACATTATGCTTCGAATATTCTTGAGGATTTCTCCTGTAGAGGGACAGGCCCGACTTAACCCTGGTCGCCCGAGGCATCCTTAGAAGAAGAAAAACGGCACAAACATATAAACTGTTAGCGCTCCGCGCGGACTTCTTGTATCTGCGCTGGACACCCTTCCCTGGCGCGCGGAGCGCGCCAGGGGCGGCGCCGTAGGCGCCGCCGGGAGGGCCCAGCGAGGATCCAAGAAATCCGCGCGGAGCGCCAAAAGTTTATGTTTATGGAATAGTTTCTTAGGTCGGGCATGTCCCCGTGCAGGCGGATTCTGGGCGAAAGATGAAAAGGAATCTAAAAATACCCCCCAATCAAAAAAGTCAAAGATGGTCGAAAAATCGTCCCCCGACTATGTTTTGTCACTTCTGGGCACTCCTCATGTAGAGGGACGTGCCCGACATCGGTCTTTTCTTCTTCGACTCCTCGGAGATGGGCCCGCGTCCCAGAGCCGTGCGGCCGGCCCCGAAAATCCCCACGGGCTCGACCGCGCGTGGCCTCCGCGCCGTCTGGGAGACGGGGGGCCCCGCACGGGGCCGCCACGAGAGCGCCGCGCGCGGGGCGCGCACGCCACCGCCGCCGCCAAAGAACCGCCGCCGCTGCTGCTGCCCCTGCCTCGGCGGTGCCGGCAGCCTTCGGCGGCGAGCGGAAGGGGGTGGGCAGGGAGGAGGGGAAGGCCTTTTCGGGAGGGCGGCGGTGCTTCCCAGAAGCCCCCCGCGCCTTCTGAGAAGTGTGCTGCGTCCGCGGGGAGGGCTCAGAGAGCTCCTCGGGAGGCCAGGGGACTGCCGAGCCCTCCGCGAAGGCCCGCCCCTTCTCGCTTCCCCCACCCGCTCGTCGCCGAGGACTGTGCCCCAGGTGCCCTCCTCCACGTCGACCAATCGCTACATCCACCACGGGTCGAATCAGATGAGAGCGTTCCCTCTTGGTCGTCCTCGAGCACCGTCCGCCTTCTGGCCGCCGACCCAGGCGGGAGCCCGATTTGCGTTCTGGTGCGTGCTCCAGTGGCGTGGAGTGGGTCCGTCGTCCAGCTCCGCGGCGCTAACCTGCTTCCGCCACATGATCTCATCGGTGCCATTGTGAGCGTTTTTCTCATTCGGCGTTTCGACCTCGGGCGGAAGGGAGGGGGGAGGGGGGGGGTCTGGCTCCGGACCTCTGCTCAGTGCGACTGCATGCTGCTGTGGGTCCTATGAGGGGAGACTCCACCTGCTCGAACCAGGCGCCAAAAACAGCCAAGATCTACTCCAGGAGGCGGGGGAGGGGGGAGTGCGAGGGCCCACGCCGATCGGCAAAACAATGAATGAGAAAACGACGACATTTTGTTGTCGCTCGTTCCGTTTTCTGCTGGAGGTGCCTTCCACCTGGGCGCGTGGCGACGGCTTCAGCACGGGCAAGTCGCTTGTGCCTCGATCCCGCAGGGTTCGGCCAGCACCACCGTGTGCAGCCCCACCTGTCCAAGAACGTATCTTGCATCTCGTGGGTGAGTTCGATACCAGGTGTATTCGACGATGGTCCCTCATGCTGCCACAGGAGGTCTGTCCAGATTTAACATTTAGTGTACCTCGTGCTCCCTCATTTTTTTCACACTGAGATGCAGTGACCTCATACGACGTCGAGGCGACCCTCAGCGCACTGCTTCATGCGGCCCTCTCGAAATGCTGCCCTCGCCACTGCCCCCCGTGATCCCCGCAACACGTGTCACAAACGCAAACCCGTCGACGAATATCTTCGAGGAAGAACACAAGCAGTGACAACGATATGGATTCGCACACACGTCATGCATGGCACAAGACACAAAGCTATGATTTCCAGGTGAGAGGGGCCTCACAATGGCTGTCACGCAGTCAGCCCCTAATCGTGATATTGGCGTGCACGCCTTCGGACGTCCCTGGTTCTTCGGATCTAAATGTATTGGGTGTTGGGCCTTTTCAGCATGCTGGTACAACTTCCCTAATATGTTTGACGGTTGAATTACGCGTCTGCATTTCGAAAGCTAGACGAAAGCTACATACGGGTAGTGGACGGCGATACTTCTCCCGTTTCCTGAGTACGGGATTATTGTCGTTATTGTCATGCCTCCGCCCCCTCACGTACTCTTGCCTTCTTCCCTCACTCGGATTCTGAGTCTCCAATTCCCAGACCACCTCAGACTCAGACCCCCTCAGACTCAGGCTCACTCATATCCAGATTCGCTCATTGTCAGACTTACTCACATTCAGACGCACAGATACTGCACACTTGGACTTACTCATGCTCTGATCCGCTGATACTCAGACCAACCGACACTCAGCCTCCCTCGTACTCAGACTGACTCACACTCAGACTCACTCATACTCCGCACTCAGACTCACCCATGTTCTATCGTATTCGGGCCCACTCCTACTCTGATTACCTCTCACTCAGACTCGCTCATACTCA